TGAGTCATAAGCGGTTTTGCACTGCAAAGTAGATATTTGATTACCTTATTTAAAATTTGTATATTTTGTACACGGAGTTGAGAGAAGCACTATAAAATTAAGATACGTAAATTCTTTAATAATACAGACATATAGACTTTATTTCCTTAGTAAATCTTTTTGTTTTCTTGGAAAAGTTGTATTTCTTGGACATGATATGACTCATACAGTACAAGCACTGCAGTAAATTCTGGGCAATCTATTAAGAATGTCGCACTGTGTTCTTCATTTCATGTCCTTTCCAAGGTGAACAGAAGTGTCATCAGCAAGTGGTTTGTGAAGTTGTCTGTGAGTGTTGGCAGGTAAATAATTTTTTTAAACCAAAGTTAACAGTCCATGTAATCATGTGCATCAATCTGATTTCTGTAGAGGCAGCTGTTCTGCTTAGTCTGCTCTGGTAAGAAGTCCAAAATGTGCAAGACAAGTGGGAGCACAAGACTGGCAAAGGGCATAGTGAGAGCATTCGGTGAAGGAGGAAAGAGGTGTTATAAACCCTAAAAGTGTGAGAGACAGAGGGGCTGTGCCAGCTCTGTACAAAAGGAATGAAACATATTAGGGGCTTCACAGATTTGTAGATGGCTGTTTAGATAATTCTCCTGTAATTGTTGGAAGAGCTATAATGCTCCTTTCAGAGAGGAAAAAATAACAAAATAACTAAGATGCCAAAACTGTGTACAAGAAATCTATATAGCATGTAAATGCCTTTCAGCCTTCTGATGTCTGCATCAGGTGGTTAATCTGAATCTGGATAGGTATTTGCTTAACGATGGTTGTGCAACTAGAGCCAAACCTTGCAGAAGAACAGTATCTCATCTATTTTGAAGGGTTCCTTTAGGCCTTGACAAACTTTTATTCATGGAAGTCATTAAAGAGGAGTCTTCCTCAGCATTATGGGTCTGTTTTTCTGCTTTGAAAGGACTGACATAAACTACATATCAGACCCTGAGACTTCTGTGATGCGAGATGCTTGAGTACTGTACATCCAGGCAAAGCCTACCCTTGAAGAGGTAGATAAACAAATCCTGTGTCACATCTTTCTAACAAAGATGAGCTTGAAGAAACTTCCATCACTACTACTCTTCACTAGGTAAAAAACTGGCTGGATGGTCAGGACCAAAAAGTTGTGGTGAATGGAGTTAAATCCAGTTGGCAGCCAGTCACAAGTGGTGTTTCCCAGGGCTCAGTATTGGGGCGAGTTCTGTTTAATATATTTATCAATTATCTGCTTGAGGGTAGGAAGGCTCTGCAGAGGGATCCGGATAGTCTGGATCAATGGACCGAGGCCAACTGCATGAGGTTCAACAAGGCTAAATGCCAGGTCCTGCACTTGGGTCATAACAACCCAAACTACAGGCTTGGGGAAGAGTGGCTGGAAAGCTGCCCTGCAGAAAAGGACCTGGGGGTGTTGGTCAACATGCAGCTGAACACAAGCCGGCAGTGTGCCCAGGTGTCCAAGGCGGCCAATAGCATCCTGGCCTGTATCAGAAATAGTGCGGCCAGCAGGAGTAGGGAAGTGATCATCCCCCTGTACTTGGCACTTGGTGAGGCCGCACCTTGAATACTGTGTTCCCTTTGGGCCCTTTCACTACAGGAAAGACATTGAGGTGCTGGAGCGTGTGCAGAGAAGGGCAATGGAGCTGGTGAGGGGTCTAGAGCACAAGTCTTATCAGGAGCAGCTGAGAGAACTGGGGTTGTTTAGTCTGGAGGAGAGAAGGCTGAGGGGAGACCTCATCACTCTCTACACCTGAAAGGAGGTTGTAATGAGATGGGTGTCGGTCTCTTCTCGCAAGTAACAAGCAATAGGACAAGAGGAAATGGCCTCAGGTTGCGCCAGGGGAGGTTTAGATTGGATATTAGGAAAAATTTCTTCACCGAAAGGGTTGTCCAGCATTGGATCAGAGTGTCCAGGGAAATGGCTAAGTCTTTGTAAGACTTTATAAGTGGTATAAGTTTTAAATACCCTGGACGTATTTAAAAGACATGTAGATGTGGTGCTTAGGGACATGGTTTAGTGGTGGACTTGGCAGTGTTAGCCTAATGGTTGGACTTGATGATCTTAAAGGTCTTTTCCAACCTAAACGGTTCTATGATTCTGAAAGGTTCCTTCAGCAACAGGTAGAGTGCTCAATATTATATTCTATGATCCAATAGGTCCTAATGGCAGCCTATGGCTATGGATATGTTCATTGGGTCTTCCAGTGCGTTTTTACAATAAATTGCATTAAAAAAAAAAATACAATTTAATGTCTTCTCCTGAACCCTAATACACTGCGCTAAAGACCATTCATATTTAATTCAGGTCCTTTTATTCCTCTTTGTATGCCACATTTCAGTAGCGTCGTCCTCCTGTTATTAGGCCTAGTGGCCAAAGAGACTACTAGCATCTCATGTCCTTTTGGTGGATTTAGACATCTCCCACACCTTCTACTGGCAGTCTACAGGAAGATTTGAAACTTACCACTGCTCTGAGAATCCGTTCCTCTGTACTTCACATGACATTTTGCTGCATTGCCTTCAGCAGAACTGCAGTTCTCCAATCTCCTCTTGCAGCTTGTCAGAGCTAGTTTGTGTGGCTTTCACAAGTGAGTGATGGCCCGGTGCTGTCACACTAAGGATGTATTACTCACTCAGGGTATTTACATCTTGAGCTGAACTGACAAGAAGATGAAAAGGAGGCTTGGTTGCTCGGCCAGCTTTTGTTTTATAATTTAAAAGAGCCTTCGTATTTATGCATTGCATCCCTGTTGCAGAGTGTCTCTATTTCATCCCAGAGATGAAAAAATTTATAGTTCCAGATTTCACATTGTCTTTAAAATACTGTGTAATAATCACAATCGGGACATTGATAAAGAACAGTTAAAAAGATATTTCTTGTTAACCATTTGTAGTTTAAACCTATGTATTTCAATAGTAGGACAAACTAGGCTTATGGAAAATATAAGACAAATTAGTTTTGCTGCTTTGATTGCAAGCCATCCAGGTCAAATATTTCACAGGATGTCAGAAGTTAGCAAAATTCTCCACAGATGCTTCTGTTTCCTGCTTGGAAGACGGATGCCTAAAATCAGCCTAGATTCATGCTCTGCGAAAACCCAGTGACTCCAGTTAGTGTTTGTAGTATTTCCCACTTGTAAACTGTCAAGAGCCTAGAGATCATTGAAGCCATTTGGAAAGGCTTTAGTTTCATTTTAAGAATCAGTGAAGAAAAACCTGTAGTCAGTCAGTACTTGCACTGCAGTAGCGCCCCGAGGTTCTGCTAGTGCTCAGACTCCGATATGCTAGGTGTGCTGTGAGTACATAGCAAAGCGTGATCCACGCAAAGAACAGGTTGGTGTAAATAAAATAAGAAAACTTTTCACTTTGTGGTATGTTATATCAGTGACTCACACATTTCTGTAAACGTTCCCCAGAGGTCTCCACGGCACAGACCGTGGAAATGCAGAGCGCAGCAGACGGCACCCAGCAGGCGTCTGCATGAAACGCTGCTCCTGAAGAGCGCTCCAAAAGCAATCGCACTGCCTTTACCTTTGATCTTTTCCCCAACCAAAAGCATGTTGTGTTTTTGTTTTGTTTTATTTTTTTCCCTCTCCCTCTCTTACTATCTCATCCTCAGCCACAAATGCATTTTACAGAATTTCTGCCCTTTGTGTTTTTCAGCTACCATGAGGTATTTGAAATCTGACTGGCAAGGCTAAATATCTTATTTCATTGTCTATACACCAATTTGTTTACAGGAATCTGTCATTCTTCAAGTCATATCGCGTGGCTCTGAATATTAACACAAGACCACAACCACCTCGTCAATCCCCTGTTACTGAGCAGCATAGCTAATTTTAATGTAAGCCTTAAAAAATTAGGTCGCCATTTGGAATTTAGAAGTTTTGTTTCATGAATTGTTATGGATGCTGTGCCAATCATCAGATGACCAATATTCATACAAAGTTCTTACTAACAAAAATAACTATACATTCCTGTGTACTGAAAATCAAGTACTTCCATAAAAACATATGTCTTTAGGTGTGCCATCTGTCCTGCTACCTTGTTAGCAAATACAAAGATGCGGTATCTTCTGCAAAACATTTACCATCTGAAGTGAATAAAGAAATTATGGTGGTGGTGTGGAAGGAAAGTTTGTCCACACAGAGGGCAAATCAGGTTGCGAGTACCGGAGAATGACAGTTTTTCCTGTGCCGTACGTCTCTCTCTTCCCACAGCGAGGGCAAAATGCCTGCCCATGTTTCTGTAACGGACTGCAAGAGAGTAACAGGGATCAAACCTCGCATTTTGGCTTGTGTTTAAAATGAAGTAGTACAAAGTTTCTCAAAGCCTTGTTCTTGATGATGGTATTATTTTACTTTGTTTCTGTGCATCCATATTCATCAGGGCAAAGAAGAGTCCATTTTTTAGTTGAAACAACTGGATTTTAAGAGGTACTTTCTTGGCTGCTTTTAAGCAGCTGCTGTAATTGCTGGAAGGATCTGAATACTATCTTCCCAAGAGGGAAGAAATGTAATCCATGCAGGGATAAATAAAGAAGTAAGTGGTCCATCAGAAGGTTTTCTAGTAAGAACGGAGCCATGGTATGAAAAATGTGACAGCACCCAGGATGGAAAGGAAGGTAACATGTTCCAGATGACAGGGCATGCAAATAGGTCTCTCATGCTTTTAGGCACCACAGTAATTATCATTTTTTAATCCGAAAAGAATAGTCACTCACATTATTTCCTTCCATGGCAAAGAGCTGGCTTGAGAACACGGGCTTGTGCTACAGCTCAGGGTTACAAATTCACATAGACATTTCCTTCCTCTCTTGTTCAGCCCTCGTGCCTCGCCCCTTCCCCACCAGCGGGGAGTCCCGGTCGCTTTACAAGCCCCTCCACCTTTCGGGAGGGCGGCGCGGCCAGCCCTGGCCTGCGGCTCCTCTTCCACCCCCTTAGTGCCTCCCAACGCGGCGTCTCCTGTCAGCCGCTGCCGCGCCGGGGGTGCTCCCAGCGGTGCCCGCTCAACAAAGAGGAGACAACCGTCCCATGGGTGCCAGCAGATGAAGTGAGGCTGAGGCAGAGTAACTGTTTCAAGTATTTTAGGCATTTCTGAAATGTTCGCGTACACGAGATCAAGCCGTTATACGCGTGTACAAATGGCAAGATGACATCCGGGTGCAGCTCTTTGGCACCAGCTGTGGCTCGCTCCTGTTGCCAGCGGCAGGGGCGTTCACTAACCCAGCGGGAAGCTTCAGGATTTGCCGGTGCATCCTCTCCCCCTCGAAGCCGGAGTCGAGCACACTTCCATGGCGCTGACTTCCGCAGCTCCTCGCGTTCCGCAGGGAGAGCGCGCCGTACCGTACCGGGAGGAGGCACACCGCCGGTCCGGCCCACAGAGACTGCAGGCCCCGATCGCGGCCGTCGTGTCGTTGCAAAAGAGGAACAACAGCTGTTTTATATTTAAGAGACAGAAATTAATCATTCTTGGAAGGAAAGGAAAATAAATGAGTCTCTGAACAATCCCACCTGCAAACACTGCTTGCAAGGTTCTTGTTGCAAGCAGCCTCTGGGCTGCGTGATGTGCCGTGAAAGAGACGTTACCTCTCCATCCCTGTGCTTCTGCAGCTCTACTGCACTATTTAACTTGTCAATTTACAGCTACAGCACAAACTTTTGATTTCATTTTCTTAGAAGTGTCTGATGAGAAAAAAGTGTCTCCCGCCTTACCAAGACTGACTTTGACTCACTAAAGTAATATTTAAGGGCTGACACATTCATTTCTTCCTACACTGTGTAGAATTTCCTGATCATAGACTTCCTAACTAGGACATAAATTCTGAAGATAGGGTGGTGGTGTCATACCTTACATGCTGTTTTAACACTGACATGAAATCCTTCATCTTCAGGCATGCAAATTTCCTGCAGATATATGATCTGAGTTATGTGTGTGCGTACTAAAAACACAGAAAACAGTTGAGTCACTGCTCACAAAAATCCATTCAAAAAGTTAAAGAAAATCCCCATTGCTGGTTTCCCATCCGAACAACAATTTCTGATTCCTAACAGTCATAGCACTGGCAGTATGAAGTCCACTACCAATGAAAAAAAAATCTTTGCACTAAAGGACATCAAAAAGTCATCTTTTGTCTGGGATTCCCTATTTCCTTTAAGCCGCTTGCAGTGGCCTTGCAGATCACGGACAACGAACAGTACCTGTTGTCTAGTCCATTCTCCTCTTCTGATAATCAGGTATATTTTGACCATTCTTACCAGATGTGTTTTAAATTACTCGAAGATGATGATTCTACTGTATCCTTAAACAATCTGTTCCCATACTCACATTAGAAAACTGACCCTTTTCCCTTAATGAAAGTGAAATTATATACTTCTTGTATAGGGAGGACAGTTCGTGGCAACGTGTTGAAAAATGTTGTGGTCCTCATCTCTCCTTCAGTCTTCTCTTTACTTCAGCAAACCAGTCCAGGTGTTTGTTCGCATCTGCTGCCATTATTTTTCCTCTCCTCTGGCTTCTCTTCATTTTTTCAACAGCTTTCCCAAAGCTTGAATTTCAGATCCAGAGATAACACACTTAAGCTGAAGCATTAGTGCTCTTTGGAAATAAATAATTACTACCTGTATTTTAACAAAATCATATTTATATTACATTTTTCTGTAACAATATGGCCTTATTGACTGCCACATAGTTTATGGTCCACTATAACTCCCACAAACCTTCTGCATTATGATGCCTGTTATATACTTTTCTGACTACAATACTTAGCAATTATTTGATTGGATTTCATCTTACATTTGTCTTGTACCTAACTGGCCAATCATTCATGGAAAATCTCAGCCTCAGGCTGAAAAGCTGTACGATATATAATACCTCACATGGTCAAATTTGCTGAGGGGAGGAAATGAGTACTGTAATGCTGCACCTGACATTAAAGACTTCGAATTGACATTTCAGACTTCTTAATAATTTCCTATTAGAATAATAATTAACACAAAGAAAAAGGTAAATATTAAATGCTAATAGAAAGTGTTACAACTTATTTGCTGGAATGTGGCTCATTGTCCTGTTTAGTTTCATATCAATGTCAATATATGTGGGATTTTTAAGCATCATTATATACTGTATTCTTGTTGATGCTTCTCCAGTTATTGCTGTGGTAATACATTTGGCACAAGGGACTTATATAATGGTAACATTTCTATGATATACACACCCAATAAAAGCTTTTTCAATTTCATTATTTTGACAGGCAGATTCCATTAATACATCCACAACAATCATGTTCCCTTTCTTCACAATCTAAGAGGATTATTAAAAATTACAGACAATACCCCTATACACTTAATCTCTCCAAATTCACTTTACAATTCCTGTCAACATCAATAATGTCAGACAGTATAATCAGGTTTGTATAAAACATCAGAACTTGGGTATTCTCCAAAGGGCATTTCTTTCCCCACCCAACAATGCAGCTGCTGGGGTTTTTTCAGTCACAAAAAGATGCTCCCAAATGCCTGTGGCGTAGATATGTGCTGTATGATAGCCAGGCTCCAACTCATCCCATTCTCCACGCTGTACCTTTGGTCCACCTTTCCGTTTCAAAAACCATGTCGTAAATAATGAGAGGAATAGGTCTTCCAATACCACAGGAGCTTTTCTTTAGGAGAGGAGAGAGCGTAGAGAATCCCTGTCCCTTCTCCAGCTGTCACAAGTTGTATGTGAGTAGCCAGAAGTACAAGGCTACTAGCTAGTGGGCAAATTAAGAGTTTGTTGAGAGCTCATTTGTTTGCACCACTGGTTTGCTCCTCATTATAAGATAGAAGTTAAAATAATTTCTGTGGACAAATAATATGGCAAGTAATTTTTTTCTGGTTTTAATAGGGATTTTAAAGAATGCTTGTTGCACTGTTGTTAGTCTTTGTGTTTACAGCGCATGGAAAACATTCTCATCACGAACCACTATGCTGCATGTCCAGCTGCTCTAGCAGCATTCTTAAACACAGTTAGAGCTGGTAGAATTCAGGTTTTACTAACTTTGATACATCGAGCAATTGTTCTGGAAATCCACGTTTTCATTAAGACACCCCAGGGGAAAAAAAGTCATATTATTTTCTGTATATTGCTCTTAAATCAAACTATGCCTACTGATTTAATCTTTATTTTTATTGATACTAGCTTTTCAATATCAGTATCAACTCTCGTTCTGACCAACCCTGTATGCAACGTTTATAAAATCAGTTTCTATCATGACTTTATACAAAACAACTGTGTGCACCCACTTTCATACCAGGCTTATAAGTTAACCTATCAAACAAAATACAGTTTAGTTTTTCCATTAGGTTCCTGGGAAGCCAAGCTAAGTGTGAGCAACTGCAGTCGGTCTCTGATAAGTTTTTCCAACAATTCTATGAGTTCTCAGGCAGAGATTACTAAGACACAGAGGTATTTGTATGTTAAATAAAAAGTGGTTCAAACTGAGAAGTGGTTTGACATTAGCAACATTGCTAAATGTTGTCTGTACAGATTTCCAACAGCGTGGTGTTAAATAATGATTGTTTCGGCACACACTTTATATTGAACAAAGGGCTTTTATCCTTCTGTAAGTTCTGGTATTGTCTAAATTTATTGCAGGCATCTCTGACAGGGGAGACATATAACAGAGAATTGCTCTAATGTTTGAGCAAGAATACAACATCGATAGCACATATGTTTAATAAGTTTAACATGAGTGATGACCCCTAAACCCAGCACAGTCAGAGCTTCAGCCAGATAATCTGATTCCTCTTCTCTTAATGTTTGTAAACCATGAGATAGATATGTCAGATACATGCATATGGATATAGATCAAAAGGGTGACTGCACACGTTGACAGGACACTAATTAAATTGATCCACAGTTAGCGATTACCTATTCCGAGCTGTTAACTTTGCAAGTGATAAGATAGGCTGCCTTCTTTTTTCTAATTAAAGAGGCCCCGATGCTGTCTGTCTCCTCAAGACAGCGAGTGCCATCTACTGTACACTCACTGCCTCGGAACTGCCGAGAAGTCATAACGTAACATGAGTACACCTGAACAAAGAGAATACTCTGCAGTAATACAAAAAAATGCTTCTTCATCAGAGCCAATGTCTTAGTTCTGGCCTACAATATGTAAATCATCTCATAGAATAGATAGAGAATGGACTGAAATGCCTATGCAGGCGTATGGAAATTTGGTAAGTGATGGTTCTTCCATCAGCTGTCCGACATGGCCATGCAAGTGTTTTAATCAATAGAGGTGAAGAGCTTCAGGGAATCTAAAAGCTGTGACAATGACACCTCCCAGTACCACGGTGCTGGTTTTTTTGCTAAGGGCAAAAAGATATCCTGTGGTCAAACCTTGATTAAGATCAGAAAATAAAAGTACTGAAACAGTTGACAGTGCTGATATTTAGAAAAATAAAACATGGTTATAATTCTGATAATCATCTCAGTGAAACAAAGCAGGAAAAAGAGATTATAAGGCACCTGTTGAAAATTCCTTACCAAGAGAAATGTCATGGGTAATTCTCAGAAAACGGGCTTTGTGGAGGTTCAACAAGCCCTTAAGTGACTGTGTGAAGACAAATACTAGAAGAATACTGTTAGGAGAAGGTGGATTTAATAATGTATTTAAGAAGATTCTGTAATATGCCAGGCAGAGCTATTATTTTGCATCCTTAGAAATAGCACTGTTGTCTCAGGAAAAAATGCTGAGAGGGGTTCTTGACAAACTGTTACCAAAGAGGTTATGCAAACGCACAGTAGCACAGTATTTTGCATGCAGTTCATTTTTCACAGCAAAATGGCATCTCCATACCAAAACGACATAGGCATGACTTCTCTGATAAATGAGACATGGCAAAGGATTCCAATCAAAAGGCAGAAATGCTGAAGTTTGACAAAAATAAAACAAATTCAAGAAAGGAATTCTAGTCAGTCCATTGTCCTTTGAATTTCACTCCAGTAGGAGATTAGAAGCTAAATGTTCTTCAAATGACTACACAGAAAACTTTGCAACTGTTCCACAAGAGGGATTTGCCTGTAAGCAGGAAGATACAGGTTTACATACCTTGCTTAGAGTCTGAGCCAATGACCACATAGAGCTTTGGTTCAGATAGTTGGCAATAAAAAAGAAAAAAGTGAAATTAAGAAGTAAAACCAGTTCAAGGTCAAAAGATTTTACAAGTGATGAGCTAACACAATAGAGCTGTGTATATTTAATGCATATTGATCAGCATCTCATGAACAAAGGATTTAGGATGGATCCATACTTTATTGCAAAGCTTTCTTTCAGTCTAATAGATTTTTGTGTTTATAGGCCAGATTTGTAATTTAAGGGAAGGATTTACAAGAGGAGGCTAAAGGATGTAAGCACTCGGCTGTTTATGAAGTTCAATGGCATTTGCGTGTCTGACTCCCTCAGGGTCTATTATGAATTCTAACCGTAACATTGACAATAGACCTGTAGTTCAGCAAGCACAATATGGTTACCCTTTACAATAACAGAATATTTGTTTTGTAGCCATAACAATAATCTAGTCTGCCTTCCAGGGACTATTTTGTGGTCAAAATGAGGCTAATTGACAGAATTTACCTCAACGGAAAATTCAGATTTGTGTGTGTGCGAATGCTGACTTTACTATAGATTTACAATCACAAGTTGCTGCCAAAAATTTGTTATCACCTGCTCCAGCTTCGCACATCCAAAAACCTTTTCCTCTCATGCGGTCTAGCAGACCTTCAGCCCAGCCCAGAAATGCTTCCTCAGCATCTCTAAGCTGGGCCTGATCCAAGGCCTCAAAGACTTTATTCCCAGCTCCCTTTCTCCAGGAATTGACCTGATTCTACCAAACACCCCACTCCACCATCTCACTGCTGCTGTCCAGCTCTGAGAGTCTAAACACGTTAGGACATAAAACCAAGAGTTAGGCATGATGGAGATGGGTCTGGAGTGTTAGGTAAAGAGCCAGTTTGTCTTGTGGTCTTTCTAGGTAGATTTTGCAGGAGCAAATTCTAATAAATCTCTGCATGTGCACAAAAGGTACTCTTCCTCTGCAGCTGAGCTACACTAGGTGTGAGGTCTGGAGAAACGGTCAAACGGGGCTCAGAGACACATTCTGCTGTCCTGATAGTTGGGCTGGCCAAAGGCAGGGACGAATGCCTGTTTTACAATTCTTCACGTTAGATAAAGGATATTAAACTTTACAGCTGTCATTGCATAGCATTCCTTGATTACTAAAATGTCTGCTAAAAAGTGCAAAGAGACAGAGAGGAAATGGAATGCCTTTGCAATAGGACCAAAATAAGGATCGTGGTAGCTATTATGGGAATACTTAATAAGGTCTCTGAGTTGCTCTAGCAGCTCAACATATCCTTTTGACACAATGCCTATAAACAGTGATTACTGCTTGACTGAGGGTGTGAGGAGGGAAATTCTAAGACAAAGTTAATTTACATCTTAAAAGAGTTTCCTCTTAAAAAACACACTACAGTAACAAAATTTCAGTATTGTAATGATTAATGTCACCACACTGTACTGACTCTACTGCCTCATAATTAAATAGAAGATATTCAGTTGCATAGCACTTGAATATGATAATGGTTTATGTATTAACTCATTCACCTTGCAATTTTTGGACCTATTTTTCATTTTTAGAGCATGTAATGACGGAATGTGTGCAATAGCATAGACTTTGAGAGCAGTCTCTGAGTATCTTGGGGGAAGGAAAGACACTGTTGCTATTGGCTTTATGTAAACCTTCCTGATAAACTGAAATCAAAACCTGGAAGTCCATTTTCTGAGGACTTTCTAAGTATTCCAATCTAAGCAAGGGACACTTAATTCCCAGAAAAAGGTTCTAAAAATTTTCCAAGAACCAAATGACAGCTGAAAAGGAAAACTGGGAACTATGCTGTCCCTTTTGTTGTGAATTGCCACTTGTTGATGGTAGGGCTTGCCTTCACCTTGTAAAAGGGAGAAAACACTTCAACTCCTACTCAAACACACCTTCCTGCCCTCCCCAGTAACCCAGAAAGTGCAAAGAATGTACTCCGCATTTTGAGCATTAGACAAAATTCCCAATAATGTTGTTTCTCTACCATGTTAAAACCACCTACAACTTTCAATCATGGCATTTTAAATCAGTAGATGTGTGTGTTTGGGGTTTTTGCCTGTTTCTGTCAATGTCTCACTCTGTGATGTTTGCCAAGTATTTGAATGCCTAAAGTTAACCATTGAAGTTCAACAAGATACTGAAAAAAATCTCAACTTTTCAGGG